AGGGGGAGTGGCTCGTTTCTGGAAGCTGCAAGCCCCGTCCTTTGGCTGTAGCTTCTCCTGGGTGGGCGTGGGAAAGGCAGCGCCGTGCCCCAAGGCAGCAGGGTGCTGACCGAGGACTCCTTCCAGTGCTGAACTGACTTGAGGCCTGTGCCTCCTTCCAGGAACGTAATGGAGCTGCAAAACGGTAATGGAGCTGCAAAACGGCCTGGACTAGTTCCTCGGCCTTGGCAAAGCCCACATGGACAGAGGGCCGAGACGTGAGCACCACCTAGTGGTGCCCGTGTGGAAATATGGGTCCTTACCCTTGATTGTGATGAGACTTAAGGATGTTTTTCTGTTTCCCTCCTAATCCTCCTCTGAGAGGTAGAGAAAGTTGTCTTGTCCCCTTTAAACCATGGAGCATGAAAAGTAATATGTGGCAACACGTTTCATAAGAGAATAAAGGCACAGTCTTTAAGGAGTAGTAACAGATCTCTTCTGCTGGTGTTCCTCTTTCTCCCCCTTCCTTCCGGTCCCCCTAAACCACCAGCCACACCAAGTGAGTGCACACCATTATTGTCATTCTAAGGACTCTTACACAGGCGATTTCAACACTCCATTAGGATGGCACAGTAAAGAACTCTGCCGAAGGAGCACTTCCTATACAGTACCAACTTCCATATTTTCAGGTAGCCTAGCTGGATGGCTCCCCCAAATACCACCAGATGCTAAAAGCACTTTCTAAATTGCCCTCTGGCTCTTTTCTCCATCCTATTCAAGCCTATTTCCAATGACATTGTTCTAACCCGTTGTTTCTAGACCATTCCATTCATTGTGTTATTCTTTCATGGGTCTTCTCATTTCTTTTAAAACCCATTTCTCTTAGAAATCAGGGTAAAACTAAATACACTGTTTTCTCATCAGTGACAGGGCTACAGAGATTGCTGGTTTACCGGGATAGACATTAGGCATCACTGCATTTGTTGTTTGGAGGTTGAGAGATCTCTGCCATTTTGAGTTTATCTGAGTATCTCCTTCCTTGTCTGAGTCCTGGAACCATATCTCCTCCTCCGAAGATCCCTGACCTCCTCACACCCAACTCAAGCTCAAGAGCTTCTCTCCTGAACGTGTCTTACCCTATCTCTTCCAGGTTTGACAGTTTTCTCTGATCATGCTTCCTCTAAATTCTGATCTCAGTTCGAGATACCTTGTACAATAAGCTCATTCAGATATTTTCTTTGACATGATCATTGCATAATGTGAAATGACATGTTAACCTGAGCCCCCAAACCATCCAGAGCACACGTGGCAGGGTTTCCAAGTGGGCTGTTTACTCGTTATGTAGTATTGCCTTCCTTCCCTGATAGATGAAAATTAAATTGGCATTCTAATAAACTCTTCCCCAGCATCTCCAGCTCTCTTAAGTGCCTATGAATTGATTGTTCCAGCCAGCTGCCCAGGACTGATATTGAATTAACTTAAATTAATAGAAAATGTTTTCCAGCTTAAATAATTTGTTCGGTCCGTGATTTCTTGACAACATTCTTTTCAAGTAGTGATTATACGAAAGCAGCTGTGCATGCCTTTCGAGAACTGGGTTCCACATGATCCAACCAGGTTCTTGAGATTGTAGCCTTTCATTTCCTCATTCTCTTCCTATTCTAGTTTGACTTCTTTGTCTGGGGGTGGGGGGCTATTGTTTTAGGCTGTGTCTGGCTGTGCTCAGGGCTCCTTACTTCTGCTGGCTCTCAATGGAGCATATGCAATGCCAGGAATAGAACTGGGTTTGGCTATGTGCAAAGCAAGCACCTTAACCCCCATACTATTTTTCTGACCCTAGTTTGAAATTTTCATGCAAATGTCAACCAACTGAATCTGAACACCTTACATCCCCAAACTAATGAAATTCATGTCTTATTTAATGTCTTGTGAGGAAGAATGAGTTGTTGAAAAGTGTGGATCTTTTCTCTTTATCCTTCAAGATAGTTGAAAGGTGAAATTTTAGGGGTTTTCTGAGGTGTGTCCTGCACATTTTTGAGATTTTCTATGCGTTTTTCACAACTGACAGTTACAGTTGCTGGGGTGAGCAGGGATGCTCACATGGTTAGTTCAGCTTCTTCACACAGTTGCTGGTTTTAAGTCCAGATATTCCTATATGGTACTGTTCTGGAGTGACCAGAGGCACAATGACCTGAGAGAAAAACCACTCCTAGGTGATCTTCAGAAAGCCATAACTCAGGAGTATGGAGAGAGAAACTAAGAACTCGTCTTCCTGGTTAAAAAATAAATAAATAGATTGTGCCTGCCACAGAGGCAGGGGGTGGGGGTTGTGGGAGGGATACTGGGAACACTGGTGGTGGAGAATGGGCACTGGTGGAGGGATGAGTACTCGAACATTGTATGGCTGAAATGTAATCACAAAAGTTTGTAAGTCTATAACTTTATCTCATGGTAAAGTAAAGGCCCTCCCGTTGATCGTCGATTTGCTCGAGCGGGCCCAGTAACATCTCCATTGGAGACTTTGTTGTTACTGTGTCTGGCATATCGAATACTCTCGGTAGCTTGCCGGGCTCTCCTGGTGATTCATTAAAATAACTGTAGCACTGTCCTCCTGTTGTTCATCGATTTGCTTGAGTGGGGCCAGTAACATCTCCATTGTGAGACTTCTGTTGCTGTGTTTGGCATATTGAATACGTCATGGGTAGCTTGCCAGGTTTTTTCTTGCGGGCGAGATACTCTCAGTAGCTTGCCGGGCTCTCCGAGAGGGGTAGAGGAATCGAACCTGGCTTTGCCGGGCTGGCTGCGCACAAGGCAAACGCGCTACCGCTGTGCTGGCGATCTGGCTGCAACATCTCTCGCCCCATTGATCGCCAGGGTTGATTAAGCTGATCTGGCTGGCTAGGCAGGTGTCTCCTTCCTCCCTCACCACTCCATGTTGAAGAGAATAGCCTTCCCCGAATAGAGACGGACTGAATATACAAGTAGCTGTGCTCCCCTGCTAGAACCTCCAAACAAACTCTCATTAAAATAAATAAAATAAAATATATAGCTGCACCCATTGATTTCAACCATATGCCATCAAGGCAAGTCAGTATGTCATTGAAAGAAGAAGAAATCAAGAGTTAGGCCTGAGTTCTTGAAGCAATTTTGGAGCAAATTGATACATTCTGGCAAAATCACTCATGTTCTCTGCAACTCTTGTTCTCGGTGTAAATCAAAATCCAGGATTATACCAGTGTTTAACACCACAAAATCAAGAAGTGGGGGGCTGGAGCAATAGCACAGCGGGTAGGGTGTTTGCCTTACACGCAGCCAACATGGCCGATCCAGGTTCGATTCCCAGCATCCCATATGGTCCCCCGAGCACCGCCAAGAGTAATTCCTGAGTGCATGAGCCAGGAGTAAGCCCTGAGCATCGCTGGGTGTGACCCAAAAAGCAAAAAAAAAAAAAAAAATCAGGAAGTGATTTTGGGTGATATATGAACAAGGGTATATATAATATATAGATATATATCACTACGTTTCTCTATTTTTAAATAAAATTTTATATATTTTATATGACTTAAATAATATCTAGTATATTTTACTAATCATAAAGCATCATGATTTACTAATTTGTTTGTAATGGATTTCATTCGTACAGTGTTCCAGCATCAATTCCACCACCAGTGCCAACTTCCCTCCACCATCGTCCTTAAATTCCTGCCCACGCTCTAACCTGCTTCCTTGATAGGCATTTTTTTAGTTTAGTCATTGTGGTTTGTGTCTCGTGCTGACAGTGTCAGTGGTTCTGTGGTGTACATACACCACCTCTGATATGTCTAGAGCCCCTGGTCCCTGCCCCTGTTACCTCCTGTCTCTACTTATTCCCCTCCTTCATTTCTCTCCTTCCCTGGTCTGTTCATTTCTATAATCTAGGTCCAAGGATGTGCCGACTTTTGATAACTTGTATTTCCTCATCTTATTATTCTGTGTGCCACAGCTAAGTAAGATCATCTGACCTTCTTCAGACTTACCCCTTCTGACATGATATTCTCTAGGTTCCATCCAAGTCGCAGTGAACTGCGTGACGCCATCACTCCTCAGTGTTCCATTGTGACGGTGCCTTTCTTTTCCCACTGACACTCGTGTGCATCCTGGACCCAGAGTGTGGAGGGCAGAACACAGTGTCCAAGGAGGATTTTCAATCACTCTTGTTAGTGCACTTAGTTTTACCTGCTACACAGGATGGCAAGGACAGTTGATTTTCCATTTCTGATTATAATGTAGTATTTCCTTTGAAAATAAATTATTTTAAGGAAACAAGCAAAACAGTCAACTGAAAGTTCAGTTGAGAACGTCAAGCAGAAAAAGTTTGACAGGAATGGGGTCTGGGAGATAGATCAAAGGGAAGGAGTGCATGCCACCTTCAGCATTACATGGCCTCCCAAGTACTGCCAGTAGTGGTTCTGTGGCCTCTGAGCACTGTGCTGAGGAGCAAGCAACACAGCACTGCTAGACCCAAATATCAAACCACCAGATTCACACAGCCAGACCCAGTATAACCAGTGTTGACCCTGGGGAGGGAGGCGCTAACGGGGGCCTAAGCACCACTGAGGAGACTTCTGTGAAAGGAATAATAATAAATAAAAAGTATTTATTTAACTCTGAAAGTGTTTGACATGGAACCCACGTGTCACTCCTATTTCGAAGCCTCACCAAGTTCCTGCAGCCCTTTCAGACCTAAATTCTCCAGTGAATCTTGGTTTATAAGCTAATGTTCATGTGTCCCTGTCCCTACAGAAATGTCAGAAAGGGTTGGGAGAGCCTAATGCTTCTCTTCTCCATGACATTCATCCCCAGTGTGTCACTGCAACCTTCTTCCACAAACACAAACTGAACCTGCACAGAGGGTTTGGCCCGCAGGAACCCCAGGCCCATTTCCCACTACCCGGGTGACACAAGCATGTGAATTTAATGTGTGCAGGTATGCATGCTTTCATGTGTGTCTGTCTAATTATCACTTTTATTTTTCCCCACAGTTTATTTACGATGAGAAAGTTTCCTGGTAAGTAACTTTTATCCCCTTCATATTTCTTCTTGTTGTGCTATAAGCCAAGTGCAGCAAAGACCATTTGAAGTAAAGGAAAGAAAGGGAATGAACTTGTTTATATTTAGACCTACTGTCCAAATCCCCATTTTGAAATGGATTCAAAGCAAGTCAGTTGTGTGAGAAACAGATCTATAAATTGGGCGCATTGTACATTCGTGATATGTTTTTCTCAAATAGTTGATCTGTTGACGTGTGAATGAGCGTTTTAGAATTAGATGCATGTGGCACAGACATAGACAAATAAGGAACTTGAAAAAGGAGAGAATTCACCACTTTCCTCTTTTAGTAAAGTGAATGTTGATCCTTTGCTGGAAAGACTTATCTATGTCTTAGGATATCTGTGCCTTTAGAAATTGGGGTGACGGACCTTATCATATTGGAGGTAAAACTTGGGACGTTTTTTCAAGGTATTAAGTTCCTTTTGCCAAGTCTCTGTAAGAGAGGAGAGAAGTCTACAGCTCAAATAATTTGCTTTAGGACACAATCTATCTACAACGGATGAAAAGCAAGGAGGTCTTTAAATAAACAGGCTGAAATGGACAGGAATGCCCAGAAGTGCTAAAGGGTAAAGGTCGGAGACAACCTCTTTTGGGGATCCACTGGGACTTGGACCTGACACAAAGTGCTGACCTCCTTTCCCTACCACATGTTGTTCAGTGCTGATGATATTTGGTAATGCCACTACCCCCAGGACAAAGGAATCACAGTTGATTGCAGAACACAGGTTTTTCATTTTTTGTTTTTTTTGTTTGGGGTGTGTGTGTGTGTGTGTGTTTGCAGAAAACTTTTCAAAAACCTACTGGGTGGAGTAGTTTTTTGTATCCTATTACTATCTACCTAGACTTGCTGACAAAAACTATGACAGGAAAAACTATGGGTTCTTATAAATGTATTTCAGTCCCTACCCTGTTCTTAATTTGTCTGTTTCAATTCTTACCCTTAAAACATCTTTAAAGGGGAGCAAGTCAAGGAGAGTCTATCTCCTTTTCCTTCCCAAGGCTTAACAGCCTATGATTTTAGGTAACCTACCTAAGGTACAACTTGGAGTCTTCTGCTTAAGATTCTGAAGTCATCAGACCCCTCCAGAGAACCAAAGCACCTATACACTGAATTACAAGAGGATGGGAAGACCAGGGGAAAATGAGCGGCAAATTCCCAAGAACGCTTTGACATGACTAGGAATCTTAAGTATCACACTGGCACGAGTGCTAAAAAACAACTGCAGAATAGGAGGTGGGGTCTCTAGTGGTCCCAGAACAATTTTCCCATACTGTCTGCCAATCATCTAATCATAGTGACTTTATGGTTAGGCTAAGGGATAACATTGTTCACATGAGTGAACCAGAGAGTTTAAAGACTGTACCTCTGGTCAATAACAGGCTGGGGATTTCCAGCAATTTCAACTGCCCATTTGAATGGGAAATATATTGAATTTTAAGATTTTTTTCAATTGCACTCTCTTGCCAGCTAATCAGATATTTTTGTGTGGCTGACAGGATATGTCTGGGACTTAGTTTCTCTGATATCTCTCAGTAAAGCCAGATCTCTCCACTTGAACAATTTAAGCAGTAGTCTTTCAATACTATCTTCCTTAAGCAGCAAATTGTATTCCTGTGGCAGAACATTCCAGCATGTCCTAGGGAATTTAAGACAGGTAACCAGTTCAACCCAAGTCCTCAAAAGGAAAGGAATTTCTGTTTTGTTTATTTTGAAACTAGAGAACTCTTTAGGAGGAAGTGAACCTTATCCAATTAAAATACAGGAGGACCTGGCAGGCCCAGCACCCATGGTTTAGATTCCTTCACCATTCCTGAAGCAGAGGACTGCAGTAAATCCCACTGTGTAAAGAAACAGCAGGGAGAAGGGTTTGAGTCTAAGGTAACAGATTTAAAAAGTGACTTCTATTTCTTCCATAACAAGCACCCCAGATGTGAGTGGTGTGGTGACTCCACATTTTCCTTAATATTCCCTCATGGTTTCAAGAGGACTGCTCTTATTCCAGCCATCAAATTGAGACTGAAGACCAAAAAGATAAAGAGGCTCTGTCGTTTATTGAACATCTTTCCACCTTACAGTCTTCGGTCACAACTGGATCTGTCCTTGCTGAGGATAGAGTTAACACTTTAGCCCAACCATTGTTTGCTTTAGAGGGGAACCAATCTTCCTTGAAATCAAAGGTTCCTCATTAGTGGGATTTTATTAGCAGTGAAGAGGCAGGGTGGGAGAAGAATCTATTCTTGAGTGCTTTTATTATGCATCTACCCCAAGCATATTTTAAATAGAAAGCACCAAAAGTCCTCCTCTTAACAATGACCTGCAGAGCCCACAGTGTTACCAGAACTCAGAGTGTTTCATCAGTGAAGGAACAAAGAAGGCATAACTGAAGCCAGGGCCACAATTTTACTTCTTCTCTGCGCCTCAAGTTGTGACTTTAGATGTAAAAAGGAGGTAGATAACACGCAGACAGTGGCTCTTTATCTTATTTGAGGTGGCCATTAGCTGTTGTAGACTATTAGAAGTAGAACTGTGCCTTCCAGCTGAGCACATGAGGGAGGCCATCCACATGGAAAGGACGGTCTGGCAGTAGGAATCAGAGGGCACTTGAAAAGGGTTTAAGATTGAAGTTTGTGGGAAGGGAAGAAATAAATCCAGATTATGCTGTAAGACCTTGTCCTCAGAGGACAGTGAGTAGTCATGATGAAGAGAGGCGGATGGGAAAGTGAACTACAGAAAGGGAAGTGACCGTGTGATGGCAGAGATCTGCAGGGGATCCAATTCAACCCTGTGGTTCTTTCCTAACGCTTCCTGGAGGCCAAGCTCCATCCTAGACCTGATCCAAAGCCCAAAACCAAGCTTGACCTTAGATCAAGGACAATTAACTGACCCAAGGTCAAATAAATTTGATTAATTAAACTACCATAAAATATATTTAGGTGCTCTGCCTTCTGCTTTCTGAGTGTTTTGATCTGATCTTGCTTTCCATGGGTTGCTGTAGTAACATTGTATCCTAAAGCAAATTTTTCTAACTGCTTCCTCCTCTCTCCTCTAAGATACAGTAGAGAATTGGCAATAGTGCCTTAATATCTTGAAAGAAAGCCAAAATTCCACCTCCAATGTGGCCATTGTTTGTTCCTCTCTTTTATATGAGACCATCTTTTCTAGCATCAATAATTAGTTAATTTAATTTAAAACCAAGTTTAAGAACTCTACCTCAGGCTAGAGTTGGAAAGATAATTGACATGTAATTATAGGATCATTTCAGGTGTCCCTGGCACTGGGGAAGGGACCCAGATGTGCACTGGGCCAGGAATTGATAATCAAATACTCAGGTCAGAAACCAGAAGGCACAGCATCTTAGGGAGCCCAACGCTGGCATTCTTTGTAGGAGGGACAGGTGCAGGGTATACCCTGAGCCTAAGCTCAGAGAAAACCAGAAATGCCAACAGAAGCATAGAATGCCTATCCCACAGGCACCCCTGAAATGTGACCACCAAGAACAAAACTCAAATACTGCCATGGAAAAACTAGTTTTGAAGAAAAAATCCAGAGTATCTAAAGGAATTAGATAATATAAATATATCACTTAAGGAAGTGCTTGGCTTAACTCAGACTGTGATACAGTTTGACAGTCTGGTAACACCTCACTGAATCGATTCATGCACTGAAACAGTGACATCATCCTTTAAGGTTTTCAGTGTCTATTACTTCAAAATAAATGCTATCAATAAAGACTTTACTTTTCCTAGTTCCTGCCAAAGAAGCATGCTGGGATGGTAGGAGGGAAACTTTGGACATTGGTGCTGGGAAATGTACACTGGTAAAGGGGTGGGTGTTGAAACATTGTATGACTGAAACCCAATCATGAACAACTTTGTAACTGTGTATCTCATGGTGAGTAAATAAAAAATTAATTATATGTATATATGTATATAAATTAATGTGTATATATAATATTAATATATATTAATTTATACATATAAATTAATAAATAAAATGTATATAAATTTAAAAGAGGTAAAAAACTTTACTTTTCCCAATTAGTATGTGCCATATATATATATATATATATATATATATATATATATATTGATCTAGCATCATGATCAAGTTACTGATCACTATGACTAAAAATTGATGCTTGAGGAAAATCTCACCCAGCTCAAATGTGATTGAGATATGATATAATTTTTGCTGTGGAGAAAACAGTGGGAAATTGGGAAGAAATAGATATCAGTTGGGGAAGTCACCTGTCAGGGACTTCATTCTCAAGCTCCAGAAATTAACAGCCCACATAACTGATGTGAGGTTCAGGTGTGAGAAGTGGTGTCAGTGACTCCTAGAAGCAGGTGTGAGATAAAATAAGTAATGATAAATAAAATTGTCATAGAATGAGAAGGTTAGAGAACATTAAATGATCTTGTGCTGGAAAGTGAGTAACAGAGAAGACATTTTGAAGAAGGTGACATTTAAACTGATATTTAAAGCATACAAAGGGCCAGTCAGTCATGAAGGGAAAGCCATAGGAAGAGTATGTGCAAAGGCTCTAGAAAGAAGGAATAGTGTAAGTTCTTCAGGGAGAGGGCATTTTTCCCCTTGGGTATGTTGGGAAGCAATTGAATTTTAGGGGAAAATGGCATGATTTAGCAGCATCAAAGGAGCCAGTTCTCTGGCTGAAACTTAAGGTATATGAGGGAGGCAGCAGTACAGAGGGAAGGCATGAACAACTGAGGAAAGCTTTTGGACAGAGAGTTCCACTAGGTGTGGAGTGATGGGAAAGGAAGCCTCCATATTGATTTCCAGATGTGCCCTTCAACTGGGAAGAGAATGATATAGTGATCCGTGATGGCCAAGCCCAGGGGGAAGTGAAATAGGAAACAGGAGACAAGAATCCTGGCCTACATACATTTAGGAGAGTCCAACTTGATAGTTGAATATGTGAACCTGGAGCTGGAAGAGGTGTGGAGTGGATGTGTAAATTGGTGTTTACACCAGTTTGTCAGGATGACTTCACTAAGGCAGAGCCTGCAGGTAAGAAAAGAAGAAGAATCTGGACTTAGAGTTATAGCTGAGGAAGTGGAGAAGTTAGGGGTCAGAAAGAAATCTGGAATGTGGCCTCTTCCAAGTCAGGAGCAGAGGGTGATTTGTAAAGGCGGGTAGGTAGCCAAGTTCCAAATTTTCCTTGAAAGTAAACAGGATACAGGTAAAGTTCCTGAAGTTGTGTAGACAGAGGTCCTGGTGCCATTTTCTTCAGACGATCAATGGATATGGAAGTGAGACTAAAGAAATTTTCCAGATGAGTAAAAGGCACTGAAATGGAGGCTATGCAACCCTTTGAGAAGTTTTGCAGAGAGAGAAGCTGATCAATGTGACAGAAGTAAGAGGATTTGGAGAATACCTTAATTTTTTCTCTCAATCAACAACATCCTGAGCACCTTCCATAAAAGACACACATTTGCATAGTCATTATTTTTGGGGTGGGATACAGGCATTAACAATGATGCTTGGGCCCACTGGTACTCCAGAACCACGAGGACTATACCCAGTGGTGCTAGAGTGGGTATGGTCTACACTTGAGCCACAGCCTTAGTCCCTGTGTGTCATTTTTAATGGATGCTTGGAAGCCCTTGTATGGGCACACTCCTCATTATGTAGGAATCCAGTTCCCCTTCTCAGAAATGTCTGCGATTTAACAAGCTACTTATATAAATATCATAGCTCATCTCTGTTCCTCTCTTTTACATGAGACCACCTTCTTTAAGATTATTTTATGGGCTTGAAAGTTGAAAATAAAAATGGAGGAATAGGGCAAAACTGGAATTTCTTCATAAATATTTCCTCCATTGACTCATTTATTATACAGCTAAAAGTTGATTGAAGGTGGAGTTGGAGTGATAAGTTACGGAAGGGAACTCGAGGACAACGGTAGTGGGGAGAAGTGCCTGCTCTAGAGAAAGGCTGGGGACAGGAGGGAAACTGAGGACATTGGTGGAAGGAAGTGGACACTATTGTTGAAAGGATTGATGTTGGGGGGTATGGTGCCTCCAGCAGATCAATCTGTACCTGTGAGGCGAGTTCATCAGCAGCCAGATGGTGCCTTCAGACTTCCAAATACCCCAAAATTTTTGCTGTGCCTTAGGTCAGACCCCAAAAATTTGGGGCAAAGTTTACCAAGAAAGTAAATGGCCAAAAGTTAGGTATGTGGGATACACACCCACAAACCCCCTCCAGTTCAGCTATATAATTGGAGGTAAGGTCTCTATGGTTCCTGATCAAACTGCTTAATGGTCATGATCCCAGAGATTCAGAGACAAATCTCAGAACACAACGGCTTTTGGCAGAGATATGTCTGGTTCCCGCAATGAGTTATTGGCACCAGACCACCCCAGGGGGGAAGGGTGTTGTCCCTCTGCCTGCTCCCCCTTGGCGGCTCGGTGGCCTCATTCTTCCAGAGGCCATTGGACAGTCAGGTTTGGGCTCATAGTGACAAGATACGTGGGGCCTCAGAGGATGGAGGAGGAGCTGGCCCTTTCCTCCCCACCCCAGTGAGACCTCCGAGTCGCCATCCACAAACGGCCTCTCTGGCTCCTGATCAAGCTGCTTAATGGCCATGATTCCAGAGACTCAGAAACAAATCTTGGAACCCAGTGGCTTTTGGCAGAAATGTGTCCAGTCCCTGCAGTAGGTTACCGGAGCCATGCCACCCCAGGTGGGAATAGGTTTTGTTCCTTGGCCTGTTCCCCAGTGGCTCCATGGCCGCCACCCTCCAGAGGCCATTGGGCGGTAAGGTTTGGGTCCTCAGTGACAAGACAGGCGGGGCCTTGCAGGATGGAGGGTGGAGCCAACCCTTTCATCACCATCCCAACGAGACCCCAAGTTGCCGCCCACTAACAGCCTCTCTGGCTCCTGATTAAGCTGCTTAACAGCCATGATCCCAGAGACTCAGAAACAAATCTCAAAACCCAGCGGATTTAGGCAGAAATGCGTACCGACCTGGAAGTAAGTTACCGGTGACGGGCCACCCCAGGGGGGAAAGGGTACTGTCCCTCTGCCTGCTCCCCCTTCGCTGCTCAGTGGCCACCATCCTCCAGAGATCATTGGACAGTCAGGATTGGGCCTGCAGTGATGAGACAAGCAGGGCCTCACTGGATGGGGGTGGAACCGGCCCTTTCCTTCCCGCCCCACGGCCTTTCTGGCCGTGATCAAGCTGCTTAATGGTCATGATCCAAGAGACTCAAGAACAAATCTCGGAACTCAGCAGGTTTTGGCAGAAATCCCTCCAGATTTAATTCTTAAAATTTCAGAATTCCAAAATCACACGACCACTACTGTGGCTGAGTGACATCATATGTTATTTATAACCAGCAACAGAAAAAAATTGTTTACTGTTGCCTTTTCAGAAGATCTGAGTGTTGGGGTAAAATCCCAACTAATAATGGTAGGTCTGGTGTTGAAATATTGAATGTAATCAAAGTAGAGAGAGAGTAATGTGGAAATCATCTGCCTCACAGGTAAGGGGAGGGTGTGGGATGGAGGGTATACTGGGTTTTTTGGTGGTGTAAAATGGGCACTGGTGAAGGGGTGGGTGTTTTATGGTATGACCAAGACTTAAATCTGAAAACTTTGTAACTGCTTTCATGGTGATTCAGTAAATAAAATTATAAAAAAAAGGGGGGAAATGTAAGGTGGAGTTCATGCCCAATTCAATCAGCCTAATCAATGGCTGAATAAATAGCAATACTCCTACATTTAAAAAAAAGAAAGGATTGATGTTGGACATTGTGTGCCTGAAACTTAATAATGAATGACTTTGTAGCTCTGCAATTCACAGTGATTAAAAATAAAAAATTAAAAGGATGGATGTTGGAACATTGTATGACTGAAACCCAATCATGAACAACTGTGTAACTGTGTCTCATTGTTATTCACTTTAAAAATAAATATGTTATATATATTTAAAATAATAAAAATTGTCAAGAAAGGGTGAAGCAAGATATTAGGTTTCTCTTTAAAAAAAAAAAAGAAAGAAAACTGCTAAAATAAAGCAAGTAGAAGTATTTGAGTTACCAGAAATTCAAGACACAATCTAATGAGTTTCATTTTTTCCTTTCTCAACCATTTTGTTCCTCCTCATTCAATTCTTAACCTTCCTTCTCTCCATTTCCTCATCTCTCTCATCTTCCTCTTCCTTTCCATCTCATTCTGTATGTATTTATGCCTAAATTTCATGTAAACATTCCCTTCATTATCTCTAATAGTTCCTCTGATTTGCTCTTTTTAAATTTATCTGAATAGTTTTAGTGAATGATTAAGCATGGGAAAATGTTGTAAATATGCACATATATTTGGCAATATTGCATAAGGCTTGTTGTGTTCAAAGAATCAGAAGTGTGAAAAAGCAACAGGGAGGAAGCAGTATTTTCCTTTTAAGTGAAAAGGAAAAGTGAAAAGAAGTGAAAAGGAGTGTTCACTGAAAGCTGTATGGGGCATCGAAAGTGTCTGTACACTGAGATATTTATTGCCTCTGCACGTCTGAAGAAAGCATACTTCATAGGTTTATGTGTCATTCACATCAAATGTATCTTTGATGAGAGCCCAGTGCATTCCACATCTGCCTCAGTGGCTTCTTTAACTAACAAGTCTTGGTTTGTACACAGGTGGGAGTCTTTAGTCCTTGTGATGATGTATCTGATCTACATTATCATCATGAAGTAAGTAAACCACTTTCTCTACTTCCTTTCCAAAACCAATTCCTACTTTCAACATAATCTGATAATGTGAACACAGAGCATGGGAGAGGCCAGATACTTGGCTGGTTAGTTTTCACATCACACTCGTTTGCCTTCTCAGCAGCCTGAAGTGAATTCTTGCAACTTTTATTATAGTGATAGCAAAGACCCTTTTGTTCTACTTATCATCATAGATGCAAAACTTCAGTATTTTATTTGAGAAAACTCCCAAACCCTCACCCATCTTCAGGACCAAACAAATTAGCTCTGGAACATATCTTCATTGTGTTTCATAACAAAAATAGAAGATAAACTCATTAAGTTTCCATAAAGGGTGAGAGGAAATGGGACCAGCTAGTTAAGAGAATAGAACCATGGATCAGAGAGCTGCACACCTACATTATTCCTATCATATTAGCCATTTGCCACTGCATGTAAGGCCCAAACTTGTGACTTAAAGACACACACAGGGGTTGTTTCATAATTTCTGAGCACTAGGCAGAAGCAGTTTAACAAGAGGGGTCTACTTAGGCTCTAGTTTGAGATTTCAGGTCAGAATTTGGCTAGGCCAGCCATCACCTGCTTGACTGGGGCTGGTGGCAGTGTCTGCTTGTGTGCCTGACCGTGTGGTAATAACTGTTGATTGACATTGCCACGCAGGCTGCCTGTCCTCTCCACACTGGGACTGGCTTCCTTCTGACAGGTAATTTCATGAGTGAGAAGAATCCTGCAAAGCTTCAGTCAAGTCTGTTCTTACGAGTCATACAACGTGATTTCTGCCGTAGTCTATAAAAACAAGTCAATAAATACAGCACATACTCATGAGATCTGCTTCACCTTTGGAAAGGAGGAAAATAAAAGAATTTCTGGTTGTATTTGAAAACCACCCCTATTATATTGTCCTTTGGAGTCTGAGCAGAGCAGCTTACTACTGTATCAAAAATTACATTGTTGAACTAGAGAGATTGTTCAGCAAGTCAGGCATTTTCCTTGAACTTTCCAACCCATATTTGATCCCTGGCATCTTATTTTGTTCCCCAAACCAAGCCAGAAGTAAGTTCTGAACACAACAGGCTGTGACTAAAATACAAAGTATTCTGTATTTAACATATTAACTATGGTTCTATTATTTAAAATCATTTTAAATTACATTGCTTTCTCTCCTCTGAAATAAACTTTACAAAAGGGGTTTAAATTATTTTTGAAAATATGTTGAATGAATTATACCACAATAAGAAAAATTGGGGGCTCACACCAAAAAAGAGAAATGGTCCAGCATTATAGAAATTGCCAGTTTGGACATCTCAGGCAGCATTCTAGAGTTCGCAAATCAAGTTTTCCTTAAAGTTGAAACCTTGATTCTGGCACCAGTGACCAAGAGCCCTGGTTTAAGAAAATTCAGTATAACTATTTGCAAATTTCCAGTGGAAGTAGGTGATGGCTTGGATAGTTTTCAGGTTCAGACTTAAAGTGACCTGCTAAAAGTCATCTCAATACAGTTTCCAACCTCCCGCTAAGTAACTGTAAGATGATGTTTGTAGACCCAAGATGTGGGTCTTATTCCTGAGGGCATTGCTAGAGAACTCTGGTGTAGAGATACCAGGTGGTTTTACCAAGCAACTATCTCCCACTTAAAAATACCAACATATTGAATCTTATCAAAACCAGAGATGACCCAAAGTTGATCCAAAATATCTAGACATTTTCAACCTCTTTAAAGATTGAAACATCTATTTTTTCTCTGAAATAATTATTATAAAGTAAGTAACATTTTATAATAGTTATTAGAAAATTAGTATATCTTATATAGAGACATCTTCCTTCGGTGTCTTTTTTATTTCCTCAACCCTTCCTCCACATAGATGTTCAAAACAAGATCTCCCTTGTGGAAGAAGGGTTGAGGAATTTTGCTAGTAGGCATTTTATGACACTGCTTTTCTCTACCTAGATGTAGATCCCATGAGTCACTGGCAGAGCATGTGGACATTAAGATAACAAGTGAACAGTATATCTCTCCTACCCTAAGCCATGTCCAATATGAAGCTAATGAGGTGTCTTTCTGCTGATGCCTCAGCTTTGCCAAACTTCCAGCTGTTCACACCAGCAGGATACAAATAAAATGCGGAACAGTAGTGACTGTGCTTGTGGGATGTTCTGCATAGTTTCAGGTCCCTAGTTCTAAATTGAAATCTTTGCCCGTTGGCCATTCCCCTCTGCAATCAGAGATTTTTAATCGTGGGTTTTATAAAAATCTGATATATAAAATTGCGTGCTTCACAATAAAATAACATCAGGGTCACTTGATCAGTTGATCACTTGACATCCTGTTACTCATCGATTTGCTCGAGCGGGTGCCAGTAACGTCTCCATTTGTCCCTGTCACGTGCTAGTGTAGTTCAATGGTGTCTCCTGGCTCCAGGAACACCAAGTCCCTCAAACTGATCATTCAGGGTCTTGATGAAGAAGTCTGATCATCTCGTAGGCCACGCAATTTTTTGACATCCCGTGGAATCCAGTCAGTAACGACTCTAGTCCAGCGGTCGTTTCCAAATCTCATTACGTGTCCAGCCCATCTGGTTTTTGATGCCTTGACAAACGAGACAGTGTCCCTGATTCTCGATCATTGATGGAGGTCAGAATTCCGGATTCTTTCTCTCACTTGAGTGAAGCATGCATGATACTGCAAGGATACCTCTTTCGATTCCTCTTTGGGAGACCCGAATAGCATTCTCATCCTGTTTTCGTAGGGCCCAGGTCCCTGGGGCATATGTTAATGCAGGAAGAACAGTGGAATCAGAGACATGTGCCCAGAGTTGGAGGTTTTTCGTCCTCTTAACTATTTCTTCTACGCTCTTGAAGGCGTTCCAAGCTTCTCTTCCTCCTGCGCAACTCAGGTGCTAGGTCATTCGGCATGTTGCGTTCTCAACCGAGGTACACATAACTGTTGCATTTGAATATGTTTGTTCCATTTAGAGTGAATGAAACATCAGGAATGAGACTGTTTCTCATAAACATTGTCTTCATGAGATTCAGCTGTAGTCCGACCTTTCCGTACTCACAGTCGAAGTTGACGAGCATTTGTGCCTCTATCCCTCTCAGAGAGCCTGGCAAGCTACAGAGAGTATCCCGCTCACACGGCAGAGCCTGGCAAGATATCCGTGGCATATTCAATATGCCAAAAACAGTAAATACAATGGATCTCATTCCCCTGACCCTGAAAGAACCACCAATACAGCAGCGTTAAGAAGGATGAGGAAGGAGAGGCTGATAAAATCTAAAGGCCAAACTAGGCTGCCAACATGAAGAAGGACAAAAAGGACTGTCTGTACTTTCAATGCACGTATGCTTGCATTAGATGCGTCCATCGAGGAACTGATGGTGCAAATGTGAAAGATCAAGTACGACATCATTGGTCTGACGAAGACAAGAAGGCATCAATCACATCGCGCCATTTTCAACACTTGAAAAGAACTGTTCCTTGGAACATGCGACAAAAGAGGCATTAGTGGTGTCAGTGTCCTTATCAACACAAACTTTGCCATGAGCATTGATTCATTCAAATGCCTAACAACATGAATAGGACAATTATACTTGAATAGATGTGGCTCACTGCCGGCAGTTTCTATCTTCATTGTCTATGCACCAACTTCAGGTGCAAGCATAAAATTTAAAGCCTTCAATTATATATATAAAATGGAATAACAGCAATTTTTTAAAATCCATATATATTGGAATCATCAGCTGCTTCTGGTAGATAGTTTTACAATGACTTTAAATATTTTGTCTAAAGATCAAAAAATATCCCTGTTTTGGGGGGCTGGAGCAATAGCACAGCGGGTAGGGCATTTGCCTTGCACGCAGCCAACTCGGGTTTGATTCCCAGCATCCCATATGGTCCCCTGAGCACCGCCAGGGGTAATTCCTAAGTGCAGAGCCAGGAGTAACCCTGAGCACCGCCGGGTATGACCCAAAAAGCCAAAAAAAAAAATCCCTGTTTAGTGAGGTAGGGAGAAATGTTAAGGGAGCTTGAGGCATAATTAGTCTTAGTGACAATTAATTTCTATACCACTGTTTCCGTTTGGTTCAGATTTTGTGCCTAGATGAGGCAGGATGGTTTGGTGGTTAATAAAATCAAGCACTTTGATTTCTTCAGAGACCAGATATCCTATCCTTCATTTACCCACCAAGTTATTCAGCCATTTTAAAATCTCATTCTCATTTTTTTCCAAAGCAGGGGTGATAATAGTTCCTGACTTAAAGGAATTTTGTAAGGACAAAATGTGATAGCATCATTAACTTATTAATCAACTCTTTTCAAGAAATCGCTCTTAATAATATACATAGTATTATTATCTGTTGCACAAGTCCAAATAAAAATATATTACACAGTTGATCTGAAGCCCAGATACTGAACCAATTCGTTGATAAAAATTTCTCTTCACATATATACATAAAGACCTAATCGTAGCATAATATTCTATGATCATCACACCTAAAACTAATCCTATTCTAATTCTTTGATACACTTAAATATCTTACTTACTTACTAAGTAACATCTGCACCTGTATGTTCATTGCAGCACTGTTCACAATAGCCACTGTCACTGGCACTGTCCTCCCATTGTTCATCGATTTGCTCGAGGGGGCCCAGTAATGTCTCCATTATCATTCGACATTAAAGCTTTAATGGTTTTACAAATGTCTATTTTATAGATTTCTTTTAAATGTTATAAGTATGTTAAAAATAAGAATCCAAATCAATTTCAGTATTAAAATTGGTTGGTACATTTTTGGGATCGTTTTCAGTCAATAAACTTCCCCCTCTGTTATTTCTTTTCCCTTTGTAATCTATTCCCATTTATTCCTTGTTTTCTGTTCTTTAATAAAAGGTGATCATTTGCTTTCCAGTACCATGGTTTGATCACATTCCTACATCTGTGGAACAAAGAAGCTTCTTCCTGTGGCCTCTATGTCAGCTATTGATTTGATTCAAGTGAGCATGAGTCTTCAGTAGCATGAACCCAGTAACACATGGATGTCTGTGTCCCTCTGTGATCTGGACAGGTACTGAAGCTCAGTATCTAGCTTCATTGTCTCATTAGGACTGCAAAATAGACATCCCATTACTTATCTCTCACAAACCCTGCCTGAGAGTCCTAGGATTGACCTTCCGGTGTCATTTTTCAGAGGCGCCACCACCACTGCTGACTACTTCACTGCACATGCACTGGGGAAGAACCACAAGCTCCCTGGGTGCCCGAAGGAGTTGTGAAACAGAGGTGGCAGCCTCGAGGCCTGCTCCACCTGCACTTTGATTGTTCTTATTGCCTAGAGTCCCACCCACTCGGAGCAGCTCTAACCCGAGAAGAATCACCTGCTACAGAGAAAAGAGGGAAGAGGCTCAAGAATGCCTCACATCTGTAGAAACGAAGAAACACTGTTTATGTAGCCAGCCAGTTGGCAATTTAGAGTTGCTGTGCCTGGCTTCCACTTCTAAAGGAAGCCAGAGATCATGGTGCTGGGACACCCCCATGGATTTTCCCATATTCAGTAAGTCCTGAGACCTTGTAGGGTGAGGGACCTATTATGTCTAATAGTGGTCCACAATGCCCTGAAAACTCCACCTGGAGGAAATGTAAACATATACCCTGTTCATGGATAGGAAGAATTAACATTGTCAAAATGGCAATACTCCCAAAGCATTATACAGATTCAATGTGATCCCTATAAGGATACCCATGAAATTCTTCAAGAAATAGATCAAGCACTCCTGAAATTCATATGGAACAACAAACGCCACGAATAGCTAAAGCAATTCTTGGGTTAAAAAAAAAAGACATGGGGAGGCATTACCCACCCTAACCTCAAACTCTACTACAAAGCTGTAATAATTAAAACAGCGTGGTACTGGAACAAAGTCAGGGCCGCAGACCAATGGAAAAGGGTGGAATATTCGTACACACAACCCCAAATGTATGAACATCTAATCTTTGATAAGGGAGTAAGAAATAAAGCCTCTTCAATAAATGATGCTGGCTTAACTGGACAAGCACGTGCAAAAAAAATGGGCTTAGACCTCGACCTAACACCATGCAAAAAATTCAAATCAAAATGGATTAAAGATCTCAACATCAGGCCAAAATTCATAAGGTACATTGAAGACAAGGTGGGCAAAACCCTCCACGATATTAAGGCTAATGGTATCTTCAAAGATGACACTCCACTGACCAGCCAAGTGGAAACAGAGATAAACAAATGGGACTATCTTAAATTAAGAAACTTCTGCACCTCAAAAGATACAGTGACCATCTGGCTATCTTGGTATGTGAGTTTTTTAATAGAGGATTCTAAAGGATCCTCTGTTAAAGGGAATCTTCTGATACTAAACTTGAAGGGAAGCAGAATATTTGTCTGCTGAAGCCCTCCCAAACACTTGTATCATTGTACATTACTTCCACTCAGTCATTTTCTGAGAATCATAGCCCAGATTTTTTCCAGAAAATCAAGAGCTCTTTGGACCTGGAAATTTGGCACAACAGTCATGGAGATTCACAGGCTCTTAACCTGTGACCTCAGGAAACCAGAGGCAGATAGAAATGGAGGCTACCAATATCTTGTAATTCGTAGACCGTGATTCACTTAGTGGGGAAGGATGTCTCATGAGAACACGTTCTTGTTTCCTAGGGGAAATGGTATAACATAATATTAGGATAACGTGAGGTGTGCAGACTGAGGAAGCTATTAGAGTTCCCAGGGCACTAGTTAGGAGGAACAGAGAACAATGACTGGTTCTTTCTGTTTGTCACTTTATTCAGATATAATGCTTGCATACATCAGTGCTTTGAAAGGAGGACAAAAGGTGCTGGGAACATGGTCAATGGCTTGGCCAACAACGCTGAGATTGATGACAGCAGCAACTGTGATGCTACCGTAGTGCTTCTCAAGAAAGGTAACTATAGAGATCATGCCCACGAGGAAGGGCTAGGCCTCCAGCTCACCTGTCACCCCCAGGACCACCCCAGGCTTGCATCTGAGCTTTAGGGGAGGCTGCTGCCCTAAGAGAGACAATGAGGATGGGGGGAGGGGAGAAAAAGGTTCTAGGCTTCCTTTCTCCTTTGGGCAACTTCATCAAACAGCCTCACACCTGGCAAAATGCCAACTTGGACACCCTATGGAAGTTCTGGGGCAAAATCTTTGCTGGAGTTGACACAGGGAAAATAGGGTGTGGTGGGGGAGGAGAGGAGAGCGTAGGTTTGACGTATAGGTTTGGTTATGGTTTGGCTGCATCATTGGGAAGCAAGTTATTAAACTGTTCTAAGCATCAATTTTCTCTCCTAAAAAATGAGGATAGTTTTTTGTAATGAGCAGACTATATAAAAATGTTTAGTGTGATATTCCACTTAGGATAATTACACATAATTATTATGCATAAATTTATCTTCAGGCTACCTTATCTTTGTTTCCACAGTGCAAAATGACAGAAAAAAATGTCTTTTTTTCCACAAAGTAATCTTTAATCTCCAGTAGAAACTTGTTAAGCAATTAATAACCTAAAAGTAACACTACAAGATTCCCAAATATTATTCTCTTAGAATACAAAAAATTATCTAATTTTGCCTAAGATGTATTTCATTTTCATTTAATTTTAAAAATTTCCTGTTTATTTCTTTTTTTTAATAAGGGCTTCTCCCAGCAGTGCCAGAAGCAGGAGGGGTTCTTCCTGGCAGGACTCAGCCCACTGGTGCGGTTCTGAAGTAATAACATTGTTCCTCTCAAAGCAGCATCACAGTGCTCACTCTTGCCATGCTAGGGGACCACCAGAGCCACACTCAGGATTTCTTGAGAGGCCTGTTGTGTCAGGAATCAAACTGGGGGCTTCACACATGCCACTTTGAGCTATATCTCTTACTTTTTTAAAACTTGGAATATGTGTGCTTATTTTTTTCTTTGTCCCATAAGGCTGCATAACAGGAAAAGCAAAGAAAGAGAAATTGGGAAAACTGTATATTATTTCTAAATATGTGTTGACCTTGAAATCTAAGGACAATTGTTGCATTTTGAAAGGCATTATTTGATACCCTTTTTCTAACTGATTATAAGCACATTCTGTTTCAAACAAAGACAAGAATATTCAGATGGACATGATATGGTAAAATTGTACCCCAAAAACATAAACATTTACCCTGTAGTAAATTAAATGTTACCTTAATAAATCAATAATTTTCAAGAGTTTTTCCTAATAATAATCAGTGTTCCAAAGAGACCTGCATGGCTAAGTGGCCAGGAAACACGAGTCCACAAGAAGCTAAGACCAGGTACGGTGAGCAGTGTGCTCATTTTGCACCTTCATGGAGAGAGACTTGGACCATGGTAAAACTCACTGTTTGTTGTGGCACGCCTCCCAAGCAGTGCTCAAGTGGGACAGTGGCCACTCCCAGCAATTCTTGGCCAGCCAGACTAGCAGTTCAACAACAGAACCTAAGGATATTTCTTGGGCCCTGTAATGCCACGGATTATCTGAACAGCCCTGGAAGTGCTCAGGGTTCCTTCAGGGTCACACACGCTGTAGTGCTTGGAAGACGCTGTGGAATAAGGGATCAAACCCAAGTCAAGAGCATGCCAGAATCTGCCCTAACTGCTGCACTCTCCCCCAGCCCCAGTTCCAGGCCTCCGATCAGTTACACAAGACTTGTCCCATTTCTATTCTGAACCTTAGACCCAAATGTGGGCACTCACTCATTCAGCTTGTCAGCCCTGCTCATAGGGCTGGGTTGTAGTGACTTGGACACTTCCCCACCAAGCCTTCACTTGACACTGATGTAAATTCTGTCCCTTTTAATAGCTGAATGAGGAGTGCTTCATCTGGAGAGAGTCAGAGTCTTTTCTATGCCTCAGATTTCAGTAGTGGGTAGAGAATTATTTGAGGACAGCGACAAAATCTTCTTTGGTGTTGCTCATTCCTACCATGTCAATGAATGATGTTCAGAAAAGCTATCTGTATCCTCATGGAAAGCAAATTTTCATTCCTTGAAATTTTTCTGACTACAATCCTTTCCTTTCCATGAAGGAAAGGAGAGAAAGGAAGGAAGGAAGGAAGGAAGGAAGGAAGGAAGGAAGGAAGGAAGGAAGGACATAAAAGGATAGAAATAAAGATAAGCATGGGAAAATACATGGGTGGAAAGGATAGAAGTTTAGATGAAGGAGAGAAAGAAGAAAAAGGAAACAGAAAGGAAGGCTGAGATAGATTTTTTTCTTTGCTCCTGGTCTCAATGTTACTTTTATTTCCTTTTAAAATTTCCCTAGCCAACTTCCACCGTAAAGCGTCAGTGATCATGGTGGACGAGCTGCTGTCAGCCTACCCCCACCAGCTTTCCTTCTCTGAGGCTGGACTTCGGATCATGATCACCAGCCACTTTCCCCCCAAGACTCGGCTCTCCATGGCCAGTCGCATGTTGATCAATGAGGTAACTGGGCCGGGGCCAGAGGGTGGGGGCAGGGGGTGGTTCTCTGTCCACTGGACAAGATGGGAAAGTTTTTGAAGGGGTGTAAATGTTCTGGTCTGAACGTAGAAGCGTCTAACCTGATAATAATATCCCTTTCTACTTTGGTTCCACATTTTTCCTCACTAGACCTGCTGTGAAACCTGGGTGTGGTCTGGTTTTCAGTTGTATATTTTTAAATCTTTTTGGGGGTGGGGGTGTATCACTGTATCACTGTCACCCCGTTGTTCATCTATTTGCTCAAGCGGGCACCAGTAACATCTCTATTCATCCCAGCCCTGAGATTTTAGCAGCCTCTCCTTACTCATCTTTCCCAATGCTGCCGTATTGGGGGCTCTCTCAGGGTCAGGGGGATGAGACCCGTTGTTGTTACTGTTTTTGGCATATCGAATATGTCACAGGTAGCTTGCCAGGCTCTGCCATGTGGGCAGGATACTTTCGGTAGCTTGCCAGACTCTCTGATATATATATATATATATATCAGGGGGAAATGAAGTAGAGAACTCCCAGAACGACCACCAACTGGGAACTCTTTGGTACTATTGCGGCAACATGGGAAGATGCCATTGTTGACAACATTGACGAGGAATACGATCGACTGGTTCAGCACCTCCATGAATGTGCGAGGAACGCCAAGAGAGAGATAGCCACAAAAAGTCGCCTATCTTCGAAAACTCTTGAGCTAATTCGCCAGCGTGGTTTGGCGCATGCCTCAGGCAACCGCAAGCTAACGTCCGAGCTTGCAAAGCAGTGCAGAGATGCGATCAAGGAAGACCTCAAAGAGAGAAGAGCAGAAGTACTGGTAGATGCGGCAGAAGCCGGGAAAAGTATTCGTAACGCCCGCCTGTCCTTCGCCAACTATAAGACCAAGATGACTGCCCTCCGACGTCCTGATGGATCCATCACATCCTCCAGAACGGCAATGGAGAAGATTATCCATGACTTCTACTCAAATCTCTTCGATAGCCATGTCCACTTGCCGACATACCAAATTCCACAGGATGGGTATGTCGTTCCCAACGTTCTCCCTTCCGAAATCCGACACGCCATTTCGTCAGTAAAGAAGCAAACAGCACCCGGCCCAGACAAGGTCAGACCTGAACACCTGAAGAACCTGCCGTCAGTACTCATCAATACACTGGCTCGGCTCTTCACTCGCTACCTGTCTGAATGCAAGGTTCCATCTCAATGGAAAACCAGCAGGACCGTACTACTGTTCAAGAAGGGAGACATCCATGACATTGGCAACTATCGCCCGATCTGCCTATTGTCTGTCATCTACAAGTTGTTCACTCGAGTCATCCTGAATAGGATTGGCAGAACACTAGATGAAGGACAACCATGTGAGCAAGCAGGGTTCCGCAAAGGATTCAGCACCATCGACCATATCCACACGATAACCAAACTCATTGAGGTTTCTCGGGAGTTCAAGATGCCGCTCTGCTTAACGTTCATTGATTTAAAGAAGGCCTTTGATTCTGTTGAGACGGAAGCGGTCATTGAAGCCCTAGCCAATCAGGGCATACAAGCCCAATACATCAGGATCCTCCGTGAGCTGTATTGCGGATTCACTACCAGGATCTCACCATTCTACAAAGAAGTGATCGTTGATGTCAAGAGAGGGGTGCGGCAGGGTGATACCATTTCACCAAAACTCTTCAGTGCCACCCTCGAGAACATCATGCGACGACTGGAATGGGAAGGAATGGGAGTGAAGATAGATGGTCGGCAACTACACCACCTCCGCTTTGCTGATGACATTGTTTTAATAACACCAAACATCAGCCAAGCGGCACAAATGCTGGCCGACTTTGACCGTGAGTGTGGAAAGGTAGGACTACAGCTGAATCTTACGAAGACAATGTTTATGAGAAATAGCCTTGTTCCTGACGCCCCATTCGCTCTCAATGGAACGACCATCTCCGAATGCAACAGCTATGTGTACCTAGGTCGAGAGGTCAACATGACAAATGACCTGGCACCCGAGCTGCGCAGGAGGAAGAGAGCGGCTTGGAACGCCTTCAAGAACGTCGAAGCAATAGCTAAGAGGACGAAGAACCTCCGGCTCCGGGCACATCTCTTTGATTCCACTGTTCTTCCTGCATTAACATATGCCTCAGAGACCTGGGCCCTACGCAAACAAGATGAGAACGCCATTCAGGTCTCCCAAAGAAGAATAGAAAGAGCTATGCTTGGAATATCACGTTTCACTCAAATGAGAGAACGAATCCGGAGTTCTGACATCCGTCGACGATCAAGGATCAGGGACGCTGTCTCATTTGCCAAGGTGTCGAAAATCAGATGGGCTGGTCACGTAATGAGATGTAAAGACGACCGTTGGACTAGAGCTGTTACTGATTGGATTCCACGGGATGTCAAGAGACCGCGTGGCCGCCCACCTACCAGATGGTCAGACTTCTTTGTCAAGGTCATGAACGATCGGTTTGAGGCCCTCCATGTTCCCGGAGCGAAGAGATGCCATTGGGCTACACTAGCACGCGACAGGGACAAATGGAGACGTTACTGGCGCCCGCTCGAGTAAATCGACGACTAACGGGAAGTTAAGTGATTAAGTGATTAAGTGATCAGGGGGAAAGTATATATATATATATATCACAGCGGTAGGGCATTCGCCTTGCAGCCGACCCAAATTCAATTCCTCTGCCCCTCTCCGAGAGCTCTGCATGGGGCAGAGGAATTGAATTTGGCAGAGCCAAATGGCAGAGCCTGGCAAGCTACCCGTGACGTATTCGATATGCCAAACATAGTAACAACAAGTCTCACAATGGAGATGTTACTGGGCCCACTCAAGCAAATTGATGAACAACGGGAGGATAGTGGACAGTGCTAATAATATATATATATATATATATATATATATACATATATATATTTCCCTCTATGATAGAAGAAAGAAAAATTCTCTTTTTCCATCCTACAACTTTTTCATCATTACCTTTCATTTGACTAAAACCATCCCATGTAAGTTGTTTTTTCACATTTGTGCCAAAAGTTTTTGTCAATATAAAAAAGAAATATCACCAAAGTGCACAGTAAATCAAGAACACGAATAGAAAAAATGTGTACAGCTGATATGCAGGAATTTTTCTCTAAAGGACATTGAAATTCACGAGGTCATAAAAGGCTCATCCTGGCTGCTGGGAGAACGTTGTCTGAGTTGGATTTTCATGTGTGGAGTCCCTCAGGCTTCCCATTAGGCTTTTCTGAGGGGCTCTGTTGCTGCCTGGGAAGGGGCCCGTAGCTGGCAATTTGGGTGTAAGGGAGAGCCATTCTGACAGAGTGTGTCTTTCTCTTTCTAGAGGCAAAGACTGATCAACAGCAGGGCTTATGCCAATGGAGAATCTGAGGTGGCCATCAAAATCCCAGTTAAGCACACAGTGGAGAATGGGACAGGGCCCAGCAGTGCCCCTGACCGAGGGGTGAATGGGACCCACAGGGACGACGTTGTGGCTGAGGCTGGCAACGAAACAGAGAATGAGAATGAGGACAATGAGAACAACGAAAATGATGAGGAGGAAGAAGAGGAGGAGGACGACGAAGGACCATACACACCCTTTGACCCTCCCTGTAAGATGTCCTGTGTCTAAACTGGGAATGGGACTAGTACCAAGGTCTCTGAGTAGGTGCCCTTGATTTTGGCAGTCTATTTCTATGTGAACAGGAAAGGATCTTTGTTTCTTTCTAGGGGCTAGACTGTGTTGTTAAGGGTCGGAGATAGCTAAATGGAGGACATGTGATTGCGCTCTTGATCCATATGCATCCTTTTTGGCATTTCGTGGGGCAAACCTTAGCCGTTAACTCTCTTATCTGTTCTGTGGGTGCTAAGGAACAAATGATCTTGTCGTATGTCTATGAGGCAGCTCGATGCTCATGGGAAGAGTCTCTTCACCGAGCCTCATCCACCTGTGGCACTGGCCACCAGCCCAGAGCAACAGCTACGTGGTGTCCACCTGGCTAGTCATCATTCTACCTTCCCGCATTCACATCCCTCCTCTCCCAAGACCCTCTATTTTCAGAAAAAAACACCACCAGAGAGGGAGACCTGTGCAAATAATTCACCCAGCCCCAACCTAGCCCCTACACAAAAAGGCTGGTCGAGGAATGCCTTCTGATACTGTAAAGGGGCAAGGCTTATAGCGTCATTCAGGATTCGTCACCAGTGTGGTGTTCGTCTTCCCTAACTGCGACCTCCAGTAAGGGTTTGGCTCTTTCAGAACCTTGTGCTTTTCCTCATACCACCCATTGACCTCAAAGCCCAAAGAACTTTGCTCCTTCATGGCCCTTCTTAAAGTACCTGGCTACCTGAGGCCAGCATGGAGCATGCAGGCTCATCCAATCACATTTACTGTCAAGAATGTAGGGTCGGGGATGGTCATGACTTCTTTGGGAAGTTTCCACTTGAGGGAGGACCATCAATTCTAAGGAGTTATTTCTAGATCCACCTGAAAAGTCATTTGATGCTGGGAGGTGAGGTGAGCTGGGTTTCTTAGGCCTGTGTTATCTCTAGGTGGCAAATCTTTTGGTGCCTCTATATGTCCAGAGGACAGCCAGTAAAACTCAGAGCAGAATTGCCTCTGGATTCCCTTTGCTCCTGAGATTTTTGTTTATTTGGTTGACTTGGGGTTTGGTTGTTGGTTATGTGAGCCACAACTGGAAATGCCGGGGCTACTTCCAGCTCAGTGTTAGGGTGTCATTCCCAGTGTGCTTGGGGAACCATGAGCATCAGAGATTATACCCAGGGTTCTCACACGTGAAGCATGCTCACCAGCCCATTGAGCTATCTGCCCAGCTCAGGGCTTCTGAGATATTAAACTTGTCAAGCATGTACCAAAGTAGCTGCCCAGATTTTGTGTCCCAAACTCCATAAACACCTAGGCAAAGTAAAGTAGTTTTTCAGTAGGTTAGCTTTTAGGAGGGGGAAAGTATACTGGTGTTTATCAATTTTTTCACCTTTATCTATATTTCTTGGCAGCCTTCTTCCCTATCTCCAGAACACAGACATTTAAAAGACCTGACTTTCCATTCATACCTTGTGTCTGCTTCCTGTTGCTGGGCAACAAATAACCACAAACTTGATAGCTTTACATACTTGTCAACCGGTTTCCAGTCTGTAGTCAGAAAAGCTAGCATGCCCTGGGTAGATTCTTAGAGGCCCCATAAGGCCATCTCACTGTGTGAGAAAGGTCTACTCTCCTTCTCAAGTGCTCTGGAAAAATATTCCCAAGTACCTTTACATTGCTGGCAGAATTCAGTTCCTTGTGGCTGTATGGCTGTGGTTCTTTATCCCTACTGACTGGCCACTGAGGCTACTTGAGGCTATCCACATACCTCACTCCACAGCGCCTGAAAATTTGGGCACAGGAATCCTGGGGACCCATACTTAGAGTACTACTTCCCTGTCTTCAGTGTCCAGCATCAGCAGCCTGAAACTGAGTTCCAGATGCATATTCAGCTAAAGGCTTCACTGTATGAAGGCAGTGGCCCACCATTAATGTTAAGAGAGCACAATATTTTACTTTCTTTCATAGGTAAGTCCATCCCCTTTGCCTGCAGGAAGCAGCTATGGAAGATGGACTTCCAACCACACATTCCCTGAAGATTTAACATTATGTGAATGCTAGAAGGGAAGTGTTTCCGGTATATAGTTGGGGACTGGAAATGAGGGAGACTTGTTTACGGGGAGGGGGCAGAAACTAAGAAGAAATTGCTTATCCCTAAGTATAGCAAAGGGATGAGGAACATATGCTTTTAAGATAAAATTTATATATTGAGATCTTTGAAGATGGAGAAACTGAGATGCATAAGCAGAGGCACCACTCAAAAAAGGGTGGATCCCCTCATAAATAAGCTACAGAATATTCTAAATATCAAAATAGAAATATGAAAGAACTATCAGGGCTTTCCCCGGGACAGCACCAAGATTAAATTTTATGTATGCAGAGAACTCCAGGGCAACCGTTTGGAGAAATCATATTTAACTTTCTTCAAAAAGTTATTTTCTGCTTTTCTCATGCTGGAGAAGCTTATGTTTTCTCTTGAATGCATGTCTTTCTCTCTCTCTCTCTCTCTCTCTCTCTCTCTCTCTCTCTCTCTCTCTCTCTCCCCCTGTCTCTTTCCCTCTTTCTTTCTCTCCCTCTCTCTTTCTCTCACTCTTGCTCCCTCTCTCTTTCTCCCTCCCCGTCCTTTCCTCCCCCGTCACATTTCTCTAAGTAAATTTGTTTAAATAAAACTGTTTTGCTTTAACTATATAAAAAAAATTAAGCATCAGGCCAATTGAAGAATTAAGTGTAGCCAGAATCTATGCAAGGAATCCTAGAATCCTAGAGGGTCCTCAAGTGCACCCCTCCAGGTGGAACACAGGGACAAGACCTGACAATGGCTCCGATACTCGGGCCTTCTGCCTAGGTGGGACAGGACTGCTGAGTGCCACTTGTTCATTTCTTTCCTGGATGAGAGCAGAGTTCTTGATCTAACTTGTCAGCTTTCATGGTGTCTCCCCACCTTGGTGGCAAGGTCACAGAATATCTAGAGACTTGGCCAGAGAATCTTGACTCCTCGTATTCAGGAGACCTGGGTGTAGGTGCGGGCTTTGGATGCCCAATCTTCCGCAGCAGAGACCTGAGAGGACAAGGGAGGCTTGGTGTGACCCTACCCACTCCCTGAGTCTCTGTGTCATTCCAGGAGCCTGAACGACCAAGACAGGAGGTGAATTCTCATGTTCTTCTGTATCAGCCCTGCTCCCTTGGGCATTCTTGATCCTACACAGGCTCTGTTTGAAAAGCTCTGGAATGAGACCCAAGGTTTCACCTCCCTAACATGTCCCAGTAGATGCTGCTGATGCTGCTGATTCTTGGGCTTTCCCTGGAGTCATGAGGGCCTTGAAGCCTGAACTCATCTAGGGATTCTCCCAGTTTTTCTGAGACATAACAGAGTCTGTTTAAAAGCCAGCTTCTACCTCCACTGTGGACATGGGTCCGTTATGAGCCTGTTCCACATCAGAAGCTGTTGAGAAATCTCACTTCCACACTCAGAAGCTTCTGTTTGCGAGTCTCCCTCAAATGAGTAGGGAGGCCTCCCCCAAAGCTAGAAGGAGCAGGGTGCTTCAGAGCAGCAGACTGTAGCCAACAATCGGAGCACTCAGCCTGGGCTCCTCCAGGCTATGTTAGGTAAAAAATTTCTTCCACAGATAAGGATATTTGTCCCTTCCACAGAGACCTGAGAAGGATGTGGACACCCTGTGTCTCTGTCATTCAGATGCATCTTCTCTCTTGGCCTAGACTGTAGTGGGTCCAATGAACAAATAAGTAGGAGTGTGTAAATATAGGCACACACGACATGTATATACATATGTTATATCTGCATATATGTGCTAGGTTCATGCACATTACACAATGTGTACATGCACCTTTGATATGATTTGTGCATAGATAGAGGTAAATATATTTCTATATTGACATATTGCTGTGTATATGCATAAAATATGTGCACAAATATAAATTTACGTGAATTTATTGTTAGGAAAATTTATGCATGTGTATGTTATATATTATGCATAGTATATATAATTTATAGACGTGTATAAATTATGCATATATTCTTATCGTTTGCACAAATAAAGCCTATTGACTAACAGAAAGTATTCTCGTGTATATGTAGGTAAATACATAATAGTAAAAATACTAAATATTGCAGTATAGCCCTGTCTTCCCGTTGTTCATCGATTTGCTCGAGCGGGCACCAGAAACGTCTCCATTGTGAGACTTGTTACTGTTTTTGGCATATCAGATACGTCATGGGTAGCTTGCCAGGCTTTGCCGTGAGAGCGGGATACTCTCAATAGCTTGCCGGGCTCTCTGAGAGGGGTGGAGGAATCAAACCCCAGGTCAGCCGCGTGCAAGGCAAATGCCCTACCCAATGTGTTATCGCTCCAGCCCACTAAATATTAAATAAATCAAAATAAATAAATCATTTTTATTAAATAAATCAAAATATGCATGTGTCTTTCCTACATGGAAATATGCTTGAGTTTTTTTCTATATTTTCTATTTTAAAACCGTCACTGTCCTCCATTGTTCATCGATTTGCTCGAGCGGGCCCAGTAACATTGTGAGACTTGTTACTATGTTTGGTATATCAAATACATCACGGGTAGCTTGCCAGGCTTTGCCATGCGGGCAAGATACTCTTGGTAGCTTGCCGGGCTCTCCGAGAGGGGTGGAGGAATCGAACCCCGATCAGCCGCGTGCAAGGCAAACACCCTACACTCTGTGCTATCGCTCCAGCCCAACTGATTTTAAAACAGTGTACACTATATCTCCTTTAACTATATTTATTTATATTATATATTTAATTATATAACTAAAATAGGCTAGTCCAAAAGTAGTGAGTGATCACAAGGTTAACCTAAAATCAACCTGCAGCAAACTATGAAATAATACTTAGCTCTAGAATCAAAGAGTGAGCAATAATAACTTTTTCTTACCCCCAAAGAATTAAGCATTCTAAAAAGTTTAATACAACATATAACAGGAACTGGTCCTTCACATTTTTAGAGCCAAGACACACTCAAAAGGAAACATGATTTACCTCACCCCTTTCTTTACTCAGAAACGGAAATTTTGACCAATTTGATCCTTAAAAAAAAAGTTTTTTAAGCACACTTCAGTATGACTTGTTTTGTACAGGGAGTTACGTTTGTCGTTTGTTTTGGAGGCTACCCCTGGCCGTGCTGCCCGTTTCCTCTCAGCGCTGTGCTTGAGCTGACCCTGGTTGTTCAGGGGGTTACATGGTGCCAGGAATGGAACCCAGGCCTGCTGCTTGCGAAGCATGTGCTCAGCCCTTTGGACCCCCTATCTAGCCTCTATATTCCAATCAGTGCTCACTGAAGTTTCACTTGTTATTGTTACAATGGAGTTCTAACTTAAAGAAAAAAAGCCTCTCACAAAAAAAAGTCTCTTCTTGCTTAGCAATCCAGCCAGACACAATTTCTGCGTTCTCACTCTTGGCTTACCAACTCTTCACTAGATCTTAAATCTGAGATAAGAGGCATAGAAGCCCATTGAAAAAGTACTGGAAATAAATTATGTTAAATGTTATATTAATTATTAGAATGTGTAGAAATGCCTTCTTCTGGGGTAGAGAAGGAAGGCTGTTCTGTGAAATTGGAGACTAGAAAGAATTCATCTTCATGGGCGAGCAGTGGAGGGGTGACTGACTAGGAGAAGACAAAGGGGACTTCTGGGGACATAGGGATGTCTTTGAATTGCCTTTAAAATATGAAGTGCATCTAAGTAGATAGTAGATATTTCTCCACAGAGATGAGTTACCATTGAAACAGAATGGTAATAAATGCCAACAAGAACAAATAATTTATCTATTCTGAAGCCACAAGGAATTCATGAGATTGTAAACAAAATAAGCATTTGCAAGCGGCTTATTTTACAGATATGCATAAATCCTGTCAGCTTGGACTACAAACACTCCAGCAGCATTCTGACAGATCTCCAGATTTCCTTTCCACAATGTCGAGCCAGGAGACCATGCACTAAAATTCCACTAGATGGCGCTGTGGCCACTGGTGCCTTCTAATGTAGTCACGTTTGTGACGTGGAGATGAGTTTCAGAGGCTGGTGGAGAGTCTTCCTACCCGTGCCCACCCCCTCTCTCCTCAACACACCATACCCCGCCCCCCCGTCACCATTGGTGTTCTGGGAGTAGTACTCATCTGACCCTATTTTTCAAACCATACACTAATTATCTGTTACTCAAAAGTTACCTGCCTTTTGTTTTATATGCCAGTTTTGTTGATGAAATAAAACCATCTGAGTCTTTTTAGGAAAGGAGCAATACGGTGCGGTTTATTTTATAGGCTATCAATCAGGACATAAATGTCTAGGGACAGCGAGTGTAGGACTGATCAGAGAGAAACGGAGGTAACCGTTATTTGTTGTCTTTTTAAATTTTCCTAGCTGGCAAATTGGAAACCATAAAATGGGCATTCACCTGGCCACTGAGTTTTGTCTTATACTTCACTGTACCCAACTGCAACAAGCCCCGCTGGGAAAAATGGTTTATGGTGACATTTGCTTCCTCCACGTTATGGATCGCAGCCTTCTCTTACATGATGGTGTGGATGGTAAGTGTGGCAAGGACTCCATGACATTGCTAGAGCAAGGACCCCATCACAATGCTAGAGCAAGGACTCCATTGCATTGCTAGAGCAAGGATCCCGCCACATTGCTAGAGTAAGTTTTAGAGAAAAGTGCACATAGTGGAAAGGAAATTGGGATTGCAGCCCACTCACTTCACTGGCTGTTTGCAATAAGCTGTAATTACCAGATTACCCCCAAACTCATGGATGTGGAATGACAGCCTTTATTTCCCTGCTCACATGAGTTCAGGTTGACTGTGCCTTCACTAGCCTTAGTGGGAACTGGATTACATTTGACTTGGGCAACAGGTAGAGTTCATGTCTCCCTCATGTGTTGACTCATTCTCCTTGGACCAGCGGCTTCCTGGCAAATGCTTTTTTGTGGTAGATTACTGGAATGCAAGAGCACAAGCAGAAATACAAAGTGTCTCCCAGGGCCTTGACTTGGGTGTGAAAAACCATCATTCCACCCACCTTTTATTGACCAAGCCAATATCAATGGCATAAGGGACTAGACTACCAATTTTCATATTTTTAATTTTTTAAATAATTTTATTTAACTAAAAATATGATTTACAAAGTTATTGATAATTGAGTTTTAAACCTGTAATATTTCAATACCAATCCCACCATCAGTGTCAAGTTCTCTCCACCCCCATACCACACGCTTCCTCACCCCATGCCTTTCACTGTAGCAGACACATTACGAAGTCCCAGTAGTTGCAACTTAGACCTCATGTTTTCAGTATTGTTAGAGATTCCCCCTTTTCTTATGGGAAAAATAGCAGAAGTCACAAAGCAAGAGAAAAGCACGAAGGTCTCTGGGCAGTCATCTCTTTTGCATGTCACTTCCTCTATCAGAGTCTCAGTTTCATCCACCCAAAAATTCAGTCACTGACCAGGAGACCACACTAAGGTTCTTTCCAAAACTGAAATAATGATTCGTGGGCTGGCGTTGACTGGGGGCTGTGACTCAAAAGAGTTTTTGAGCCAAAGCCATTTTGGGAAATCTAGCCATCCAGAACACATTCTTATTTATAATTCCACTTTTGAAACTGGGCAACAGACCCAATTCAGCAGTTTTGGAATTGAACAGGAAGTAAAATCCTTGACAAAATTATGGGTCTCTCAATAAGTGCTTGCATGTTTGATGGAAATGCAACTTAAATTCTAGCAAATTAAGCTCAAGAGATACAAAATAGTGTTATGAAAATATTACTTTGGAATAATAGAAAATTTATAAACCTGATACAATCGACTTTTCATTATTGACTATCATATTTTCTCAGTCCAAATCTAGCTTTTTCCCTCACACTGTATTTCATCAGTGTTTTTACCTGAAATGGTCATTGACTGTCAGTACTATTCCAGCTTTGAGGGAACTTGTTCCTATCACTGATTCCCAACTATACAGTAGTTTTTCTCTGCAGTCATTCTCTGAACTTCGAACAACCCCTTGGTCTGATATTTGCCTCCTTCTGCACTACTGGAGGTTCCAAGAAGTCTGAGAAATGTCTGGGAGTAAGGGGAAAACAAGGATAAGCAAGAGACCTCTTTTTTCCCAGCCAGTTGAAGAACCATTTCTCTAGTATCAAGACCTAACAGCAAAATTCAGTTGATACCAGCTAGCTGGCAACAGGAGCACCTACTCCTGTTCAAGCCAAGTACCACAGTACCAAATCAGGTTCCTGCAGACACGAGGCTTGGGTTAGAAGGGGAGGAAAAAGAAAAAATCAGAGTTTGGCCAGAATGCCTGTAGTTCCACTTCACAAAAGACTCCTCAGAACATCAAAAATTATTGTATGATCCTGCATCTCACTTTCCTCCCTGGAGAGTAGAAGCCTTTGAGGCTCAAAGCCACTCCAAGTTTAATGCAGTGATGAAAGGAAATGAGACTCATGCTCTGGCTTGAAAGAGGGTGGGTCAGGCATCTCAAGGGATTCACTGAACAGCCCCAAAACTTTGGGTCAGGAAAGCGCCACTGAGACCTTTCAAAGTTTCACACGTCCCTGTCTTTCCATTAGTTGGTCATGGAGGAACAGTGAGGAGCTGTGCTCCTTACAACATCTGGTTTGCATTTCTTGTAACTTTATAGGAAGGGAGAAAGTTGAGGGAGATCAAGTGGCGTTCCTAAAATGACCTCATCATCGCTCCAGCCCTTGCTAATTATCCTCTCCTTAGGCCAACAGACAGGGAATTGTCTATTTTTCCACTTACCTCTATTTTCCCACTCATAATTCTGATTGGCTTCCTCTAGAAATTAGCAGCAAGAGTGGATTCACTTCTATGGGTTTATAATGGAAGTAATGTCTGCGGTATCACCTGCTTGCACTTTTTCCCTGTCCTCTCACTATGTAAAATGAGCCTTGCGGTCTCAGCGGATGCCCACCCCCCCGCCCCCCCACCCGCCCCCCCACCCCGCCACTTCCTAGAACCTGTGCCTTGGGTAAATGCTTCCATAAATCTCAGTTTTCTTTCCTGAGGAATGAAGTCAATCCTAGCACCTACTCCATAGGGTTATTTATAGAATTAAATAAGTTAAAAATCTATGGACACCACTTAACCTGGGGCCTGAGCACAGAACTAAATAGAAGTGACTGGCGTGCAGAAGGCAATCTTCATAGTTATTACCAAGCTTCCAGAGAGAAAGGGCAGGAATAAGCTGTATAAGCTTTTTCCTCCAAGACTGGATAGTGTAAGTTAACCCCTTTCAGGTTCTTAGAAATTTCTGCTAGGCATCTTTGTTCTTGGAGGCTCAAATTCCCTGCACAGTGGTCAGCTCTCCATTCTGGGTTTCCTAGAACTGAGTTCAGATATTATGGCCCTATGTCGCCTTTTCTTAGAAACCATTTTCCCTTCTCAAGCCACGTGCTGATCCTGAAAAGAATAAGTTATAAAGGCCTATCTGGAAACCACGAGCTTCAGAGCTGTTTCCGGCACCCTAACCTGCAGCACCAGCAGCCCTTCCTGCATTCTCCATCCTGTCTCATTTTGAGAGTAGATGCTGTCCTAAGAGCATGTCCAGATTGCACCTGGCAGGTGGGATTTAGGTTGGTGCTCAGCTCATCACTACTTGCTGCTTTTTCCAGGTCACCATCATTGGTTACACCCTGGGGATCCCTGATGTCATCATGGGGATTACCTTCCTGGCTGCTGGGACCAGTGTGCCTGACTGCATGGCCAGCCTCATTGTGGCCAGACAAGGTAGGGCTTCAGATGCACAGAAAGAGAAAAGTTGGGGTTGGGTCCACATGGCAATTACCAGAACACCAAATTGTGAATTGGAGGAATTAATAGAGAACTTCAATGTCATGTTGATCAAAAGACTTCCTGACATCAGTTAATCAGGAAAACTAGCCAGAAGGACCCAACTTTAGGAACAGCAGAGATGGATGAGGCCCTGGGTTGAACCCTAGTACCACAAAACACAAGCAAAGAAAATCATGGAAATTTTCTAGAAAGCAACCTCCTCTGTAGGTATTATAGTCCTTCTTTTATTTAAAAGAGTCATAGAGGGGCTGGAGAGATAGTACAATGGGAAAGACATTTATCTTGTTTGCAGCTATCCCAGGTTATATTCCCAGCACCACATATGATGCCCCAATCATCACCAGATGTGATCCCTGGGCACATAGCCAAAAGTCAACTTTGAGCATAGCTTCATGTAACCAAAAGTTTAAAAAGTAAAATGTGTAATAGCTCAACTGCTGGAGCACATATCTAACATATGCCAAGTCCTACATCAGTCCCTGACATAGAAGCTCCTGGAGTTAGGGTCCAATAACCACTGGATATGGGCCCTATTAAAGAATGAGATCAGAGAGGTAGCTCAACATGCACGTGTACTTTGCATGTGAGAAGACTGGGTTGTATTCCCAGCGCCAAATTGTCGTCCAAGCATTACCAAAAGCAACCCTAAGTACTAAATGAGAAATAGCCCCTGAGCACCCAGTGTGGCACCAAAACTAAAATAAATAAATAAATAAATAAATAAATGTAATAAATACAATGTTATCTAAACTTGCTGAATGCCACATGCCAAATACCAAGCAAAGTCATGTAGGTGCATTTTCTTATTTAATTGGAATTTATAAGTCTGTGATGAAGCACACACTCTTTCCATTTCTTTTTTGCTTTTTGGGTGACACCCAGCAATGCTCAGGGGTTCTCCTGGCTCTGCAATCAGGAATTACTCCTGGCGGTGCCCAGGGGACCATATGGGATGCTGGGTATCAAACCCGGGTCAACTGCATGCAAGGCAAATGCCCTACCCAATGTGCTATCACTCTGGCCCCACATTCTTTCTTTATGAGTAAAGAAATTCATTTTTGGAGGCACAGACTACATAACCTAAGGTTTCCCCAGTTACAGTACCCATCTGCTGACAGTTTCCAAGGTCAATCTTCACATATGGCAGACCCTCCCCTCCTTCACAACCAGACTCACAGTTTCTCTTCTTGATAATTGCCCTAGATAGACATCTATGAGCCCAGCACCCATTCTCATCTCTAGACCTGATCTGTACTAAAGTGTATTTGTTCACAACAAACACTATATGTAGTTACAAAACTTAAAGGAGTGGGGACTGGAGTGATAGTGGGTAGTGGGTAGGTTGCAAGTCTTGCACATAGCTAATTTGGGTTTAATCCCTGGCAACCCATAATGGTTCCCCAAGCCTGCCAGAAGTGATCCCTGAGCACAGAGCCAGAAGAAACCACTAAGCACTACCAAGTATGGCCCCAAAACAAATGAACAACTTAGCAGAGTGTTTTCTTTCCAAAATCACTCAAAATTCTGAGGTTACTGTTTTTCTTGATATTGCTCATTTATTTGGATGAAGAATTGAATGCCGTGAAGACCAGTTGGTTTGATGAACTCATGAGCAGCTTCATAGAACTGAGTTTAATTAATTTCTATAAGGTTGTTTCAGGGTTTTGAGGAGCCACATATGGGTTGTGAACATTTACATTTAGTCAATGATCATATTGGAGGTAAATGGTATCATACTGGAATGGTTGACATTCAAGAGAATGTGAATTTCATGCTGGACAAGATCTGAATGTTAAAAGTAGGTAAAAAGATATTATTGATAACCTTCCAGTTTTGGTTATTGCAAACCACATTGCCCAAAAGTAAAGAGAGAGAGAGAGAGAGAGAGAGAGAGAGAGAGAGAGAGAGAGAAAGCCTGCCATAGAAGCAGGCAGGAGATGGGGGCTGGGCAGGGTGATGGGAGGAAACTTGGGGACGCTGGTGCTGGGAAATGTACACTGGTGGAGGGATGTGTGTTGGAATACTTATGACTGAAATTTAATCATGAGCAGCTTTGTAAGGGTCTATCTCACTGTGATTCAATTAAAAAGTTAAAAAAGAGCGAGAGAGAGAATGTGCATTTCATTCTATCCTATACATTGGATAGAATGGAATATATATCCTGTCCTGTTCATCCCTACCCTTTTCTTCCCAATCTGTCCTATTCAATTTTTTTACAGTTGGTGTCACTCATTGTCCTTAGGGAGAACTAATGCATGCTCTCTCAGGCCATAGACAAAAGCTTGTGAGAATCCCTCATGGGACCTCTGTACTCTCCTGTATCGATCATATCCCTCATTCAAATGACTTCTTGTCCTTGCAGGCATGGGGGACATGGCCGTTTCCAACTCCATCGGGAGCAATGTGTTTGACATTCTTATTGGTCTGGGGCTCCCCTGGGCCCTGCAGACTCTGGCTGTGGATTACGGATCCTATGTAAGTGCCTTTTCTTTGTGAATTCTCTTCCAATCAAGTTCTTAGTAGCCACAATCACTGCAACTTATTTCAGGGAAAAACAATGTTAAAGGAGAAACAAAATTTCTCAAAGTTGTGCCAAAGCCAGTCTTGTGGGATAATTAGGTGCAAGATTGACAATCTTTTATGTAAAGGACCATATAGTAGTGCTTTTGGTTTTGTGGTTTCTGATTCAACTATACCATGCTGTTGTTGCATCTTGAAATAGCCCTATGTGTAAAATGAATGGGCCTTGTTGTTTCAGTAAAACTTCTTTCTAGAGACTGAATTTTAACTTCATTATTTTCACATGTTATGATCTATTATGATTCTTTAAGCTCTTTTTTAACCATTTAAAGTTTTAAAATAATTCTTAATTTATGATATGTCTGTCTATCAATGTCCTCCCGTTGTTCATCAATTTGCTCGAGCGGGCCCAATAACGTCTTCATTTTGAGACTTGTTGTTATGGTGTTTGGCATATTGAATATGTCCTGGGCAGCTTGCCAGGCTTTGCCGTGTGGGCAAGATACTCTTGGTAGCTTGCCGGGCTCTCGGAGAGGGGCGAAGGAATCAAACCCAGCTCAGCCTGGCTGGTTGCGTGCAAGGCAAATGCCCTACCGCTGTGCTATTTGGTAAGAATAGAATTGGCTCATAGCTCCTAATTTGGCAACTCCTACTTTAGTGTATTTTTCACACAAAATAGTTATATTTTTGGAATCAAAGAACAGCACAGTGAGTAGAACACTTGCCTTGCACACGTCTGACCTGGGTTTCATCCCCAGTATCCCTGATGGTCCCCTGAGCACCACCATGAGTGATTCCTGAGTGCAGAGCCAGGAGTAATCCCTGAGCATCCTGAATGTGCACCCAAACCAAACTAACTGTATTGTTGTTATTATTATTATTATTATTATTAAAGAAATGACACAAAATAAAGATCTCAGGGAACACCAAGTAAAGGATGTTGGGAGGACTCATTTGGGTTGAAAGATGTGTGCTGAAAGTAGACTATAGACCGAACACAATGGCCACTCAATACCTCTATTGCAAACCACAACACCCAAAAGGAGAGAGAATAAAAGGGAATGCCCTGCCGCTGAGGTGGGGTGGGGTGGGGGGGATGGGGAGGGGGTTGTGAGAGGGATTCTGGGAACATTGGTGTGGAAGAATGGGCACTGGTGGAGGGATGGGTAAATTATCAGAGTATGACTCTAATGCAAACACAAAAGTCTGCAAGTTTGTAACTGCACCCCATGGTGATTTGGAAAGAAAGAAAGAAAGAAAGAAAGAAAGAAAGAAAGAAAGAAAGAAAGAAAGAAAGAAAGAAAGAAAGAAAGAGAGAAAGAAAGAGAGAGAAAGAGAGAGAGAGAAAGAAAGAAAGAAAGAAAGAAAGAAAGAAAGAAAGAAAGAAAGAAAGAGAGAGAAAGAAAGAAAGAAAGAGGAACAGGAAAAAAGGAAAAAGATCTCTTACCAGGAACTTAGACATGGTCACATGCTAAGGTGATGGCCTTTGTGTTATTTCTTAAGGCTTAACTGATTATTGCTTCAGAAAAATTTCCAATGAGGTACACTGCAGCCCTAGTAGATATCAGCGATCTTTCCCAACTTGCCACAGTGACCTCCCCCTGTTCATGGAAACCTCCGTGCTAGACAGCAACCAAAGACTGAAGAAGACATCGTTATTAGAGATTACTTCTTATCACTGAAAGGAAACATTGTCCTCCAGTTTTTGTACACAACCCAGTGACCCAGTGAAAGCACTTCTCTGAATGGATGCTTGAGAATTACATTCAACTTTCTGTACAGTGAGGCACACAGGAGACAGGTGGAAGACCCACGAAACATAATAGAGATAGCTCTACAGGCTGAGCACATGCTTTGCTCTGATCTCACTGATCTCGTTCTTTGGCCTGCAGAATTTAGGAAGGGCTCCTGGAATGGATAACCCCAATTTCTTGAGTTTCTTGATTGTGTCTCTTTTTATTTATTTTGTTTGTTTGTTTTTGGACCATACTTAGCAGTGCTTGTGGGCTACTGTTTGCTATTGCTGGCTCAATGCTTGGAAACAACGTGGTGCGGGGCTTTGTGTGAGAGATTTATGTCCAGAAAAGTCTACTGGACTTGGAGACTTGTGGAGGACTAGACAGCTATGCACATGGACAGCCATAATAACAAAACTCAGAAGCTCAGATAGCCAGATATATCATTAAGTTCTCTAAGCAATCCTAAAACTCTGTATAGCATGCCCCATTACTTCCCATATATATTGCATCACCAATCAGTGAGATAAAGAAACTCAAAGAGTCACATTCCTTGCTCAATTTTGTTCCCAGACTCTCTGGAAAGATATAAATAATAAGTAACCAGACCTACTGCATGCACACGTTCCACACAAAAGGTCAAATTAAAATTGTAGTTATCAGAATAAATAGTATAGTACTACCATGTTAAAAACAGCCCCTGCAACGCAGTGGAGTTACTCAAACTCCACTGCAGATAGATTCTGCCAACTTCTATGAACTGTCCAAGCAGAAACTCAGGGGTTGGGACTTATTCCATCATATTTCTAATGATCTTGTAGCCATACTCCAAAATCCATGCAGAAAGCAAAGAAATCAGGGAAGTGGAAGCTCATACAGATTATTTTGGGATGAGGCCTGGAAATCAAATATGAGGTATCTGCCCCTGCTACCACCCAGACAAGTAACAGGCTCCCCACCCAGCTATAGTGGGGATCTAGGACATTATTTAAGTATGTGCCCAGGAAAGGCAGAAGAAGCAGTAATCAATAAATACAAGTGTTTTGTATCTATTGTCTGGGGTGTTGGGTTGGAAGTAAAATAAATAAAGAGGGTTTCCTGGCTGATCTTTTATGGGAGCTATGAAGCTGTTGCTCCTTGAGACATCCCTCTCTCTAGTAAGGTTTATCTCTGCCATGCACACCAGCACACACAGGGTTTGGCTGCCCACTTTCACTCTAGCCTTGATGGGGTACCCTGGCCAATCCTATCTCTTTGGGCTCCTTTTATGGGTAACATGTGAGCCATCTTTTCAGTTTACATCTTTTCTATACTCAAACTGAGAGCAATATTATTAATATTGTTTAAACTCTCTCATTAAAGTTGCCTTGCTATTTTATTAAAGTTTAAATCACATTTATTATCTTTTACCATTCTAAAATGGTCTCTTGGATTTTTTATGCCCTCAACTAATCTAAAGCTATTCTTTTTTGTTCCCCTTTTCCTTACTACAAAGGTAGTTATTGGTCTGCATAGGAAATTAGAGAACAGTTTAGAGTAGCACCTGCCTACTAGAAGTTATGAAATGTCACTGGGACAAGGTTAAGAACTAAATTCTGAGTTTTTGTTTCATGTTAATTAATTTAAGTGGTATTTAGCCATATCTGAATTGCAACTTCCCATGAGATGTAGTAGCTTTAGAGTGTAAAACAAGAACCAAACATAATCCAGGGTGGTGGGGAGATAGGACAGCAAGAGTGTGGCCTGCCTGGCACATGGCTGGCTTGTTTCAATCCCTGGCACCCCACATGGCCCCCCAAACCCCTCCAAGAGTAAAACCTGAATACAGAGCCAGGAGCAAATAATGTGCACCACTGATTGACTCAAAAATAAACAGGGAAAATATAAATAATCCAATCCATAGGTAAAAATAATTAACTTTCATTTTTTATTATCACTTTTTTATTGAATCACAATGAGCATCAGTTACAAAGCTTTCATGTTTGAGTTTCAGCTATACAATGATCAAACACCCATCCCTCAGTAGGTGTACATTTTCTACCACCAATGTCCCTAGTATCCCCCTGTCCCGTCTCACCCCTCCTCCTGCCTCTATGGCAGACAATTTCCCTCGTACTCTCTCTCTACTTATGGACATTATGGTCTGCAATACAGATAATGAGAGCCCATCATGATTGGTCCTTCATCTTCTATTTAGAAGCATATCTGTTCTCTTCTTTGTTGTTTTGTGTAGCTAAGATCACACTATATACTTTTATCATGAATCACGACCATCCTGTTATTCGTCGATTGCCTCGAGCAGGCCCCAGTAACGTCTCCTTCATCCTAGTCCTGAGATTTTTAAGAAAGTGCTATATTCAAGGCTCTTTAGGAGAATGAGACCCATCATTGTTACTGGTATTTGGCATATTGCAAATGCGGCTGCGCGGTTCCGGGAGCTGGGTTTTATAGTCTCTGAGTCTTGGCCGTTGATGGGATTACACGGCACCAGGGGACCAGTTGGTGGGTGTGACCCCCACCTACTGGAATTCGGAGGATCTGGGTGAAGGATGCTCAGCCCTGATCCGAGTAGGCTTGGAGATCTCAGCCCCGGGACCCGCTTGCCTTTGTTCCTCTGCCGGTACCTTCATGTGTGCGGAGAGTGGTCTCAGCCTGGTGGTGGCTGATTCTGGAGGTCTTCGGCTGCCGGAGCCCTGGTCAGGGTGGGGAGGAAAGCTCAACCCGCTCCCCTCCAAGGGGCCCCGGCGAGGACAGCCAGGCGCGGGGGCAGGAGACTGCGCTGTTTTCTTCCGGGAGCTGGGTTTTATAGTCTCTGAGTCTTGACCATTGATGGGTTTACACGGTGCCAGGGGGCCAGTTGGTGGGTGTGACCCCCGCCTACTGTATATTTTTATACATTACTCTGTTTTTTAGTATCAACAAATTATTAAAATATTTATGAATATCATTTATAATTTTAGAGGTGTATAATACTCTAGTTGTGCCAAAAGTTGCCTAGTTGTGTTTCTGCTATTGAATACTTTTGCTGCATAAGATTTTCTGTTATAATAATGCCATAGATATCTAATACATCAATATTTTAAGTTTTTAGACATCTGTTAAAAAATGCATAAATCTGCCTCTACATTTAAGCTTAGTTGTTTTGTTTATTTTCTATAGAAAAAGATTTAGGCTTGTTATAGAAAATATTAATTTTTTTAAGTTTAAAAGGTAAAGGTA